CTTTAACCTTGCTTTGGGCATTGAACTTACATAAATAGAATTTGGAATTCATTCTCCTTTCATTAATTTATCGATAAATATTACCTGATCATATTCTAGATGCCAGACACTGTTCTGGGCCCTAGAGTTACACTAGTGAACAAAGATGACGAAAATCTTTGCCCACATCAACAGGCCTTCTAGTAGTGTCTTGGGACCTCATTTTGTGGTGGCCTCCCAGCCAGGGCAGCCATTCAACTTGACTTTTGTGAGCAATACGTTTTCGCCCTTGTTTTGAGAGTAACATGGTGACTGTCTCCCACAGGGTTCAGCGCTAAAGGCCTGTCCTCATTCCCTGACATGACCTCAGTCTGTTGGACAGAGCGACCGTCCCTGCAGGATCACGTACACTCCTTTCTGCTCGGGGTGTAAATAACCCTTAAAGAAGGGCTGAGCTCTGCCAGTTCTCACATTGCACCCTGGCACGGACAGACCAGGGCAAAGGCAGTCCTCTGTGGCCTCCAGCACTTCCTCAGGCATTTACTCAACAAATATTTCCTGTCCTTCTTCAGTGTGCCATGTGCTGGGGCAGGACAGTAATAGGCCAGGTAGATGCAGTGCTTGCCTTCATAAACTGCAAAGATAGAAGTTAACCTTGGATATTAATTATCTTCCATTGTGATGATACCACAGAGACCTTGGAGTAGAATGGCTGGTTTCTTAGAGCCTCAGGGCTCAGGATGGCTCAGGTGTGACAGAAGTTCCCGTGGACCCTCTGAAAGCCCCTCTGAAACCTCTGAAACAAGGGACCCGCCAGGCCATCCAGGAGACACCAGAAAAGAACTGTCTTTCAATAGACGGGAGACAAGTAGGTTTTCTCTGGTGGAGAGGGGGCTGTTTCAGAAATGGGTTTTCTCCCTAACCCCACGGATGCAGCCTTCGAGACCCCTACAGTGCAGGCGGAGCCCGCCATCACAGGGTGTGAGCCTGCCCAGAGGGAGGCTCTGGTGGCACCTCTGCCATCGCTTAGGCTGCAGACAGAGCCCTTTGTGCGTGCTTGGCTCAAGAAATGCTTCTTCCTTCCTGCCCTCTTTCCTTCCGTAGCTGGCCATTTACTGTGCCTTTTTCCCAGAGGAGGAGCCATAAAGCCACAGTAGACATTGAGTTGACATGAAGTTGTGACCTCGTGGAAATCCCAGGATGACACCACCTGGGTGTGTCACTCCAAGCAGGCTCCTGGGCTTTCTTGAATTTCCCTACAGTGCGTTGGTTGAGATCCTTGGAGGAATTTGTCAGGAAGAGCACGTTGTGGCAGGAGTCTGGGGTGCTGGCTCCCCTCCCTCGCCTCAGCCTTCTTCAGAATGTCCAAAGCCAGTTTCTATCCCCTTTAGTATCGTTTTCTCCCCCGCCTCCTAGATGCATGTGCTAAACTCTGCTCTGGTAGTTCAGACCGGCTCAGGAGGAGCATTATCTGGGACCTGAGCCTTGGCTCTGCTAAATTACTTGCTAATTGGCATGGGACAAATCACTCAGCCTCCCTACACAATATACTGCTATCTATGCAATGGGGTAGGGGTGGGACTCTAGATGACAGCCTGATTCTGGGGGGGGGGACCTCTATCCTTGGGCACCTGTCACTCTGGTTCGAAGCCCGAAGCTCTGACGCTGGGGAGCTCCCAGGGCCCAGGGCAGTGCTGAGGGATCATTTTATGGGAGGTATCGTCTCCAGGTGACGGCAGGCAGCCTTCTTGGACTGTGTCCTTGAGAGATACCCACAGGACCTATCATTGGATCCTGAGGCAGGATCTGTGGGACAGAAGGGCGGAGTGTGGGAGCCTCCGGAGCCACAGGTTAGGAGACTAAATTGGATGTGGGAGGGTGCTCTCTGGGTCCTGAGATGGGATGGAGTCCAGTGGCAGGCCATGTGGTCTCTTCCCGTGAGTGCTCCTTAAGGAGGGCAGGCCAGCGCCCTCCTCTGGCTGCTGTGCGTAAGGGCTGCCTTGGGTTGGGTGCTACATAAGTCAGTGAGCCCCACGGGAATCATAAGAGTCAGAACGTCTCTGGGCTCCCTGCACAGCACCGTTACCGTAGGCCGCTGTCAAGCATCTCCACGTCTGGAAGAAGCCGCGCAGCTGAATGGTGCCAGGTGCCAGCCTCGTGCTAATAAGCACTTACTCGTATTATTGCACTTGATGCTCACAGTACCTTTGTGAGGAAGATATTTATTGTTTATTCCCATTTGAAGGAAGAGGGAACTGAGGCACAGAGAGGTTAAGTTTCATTGTCCAAGTGAACACGGGCACAACTTAAGCCCCGGCGTGTGTAATCCAGTACTTCACCACGAAGCATACACAGCATCTTACGTGACAACTTCCCTTGGGGTGTATTAAATGGATTTCCTGTATGAAATATGTGTGTATATAACTGGACCCTGTCCCTGAGGCACTTAGAATCTGGCAGAATTTGGGAAGCGAAGGAAGGCAGCTTGGGGGACTGGAAAGAGCCCCGGCTGGGGACTCCGCCTCTGCCACTTGCTGGCTCTGTGACCTGAGCAAGTCATTCCCTTCTCTGAGTCTCAGTTTCTTCATCTGTAAAACAGGAATGAGAAAAGTAAAAGAAGCGATGCGGATGGGAAAGCCATGATTAATTGTATAGTGTTGCAGAAAACATTGTCCCTCCCATACCTGCCGCTTTGTGTTGTCCTCTTCCCCGCCCTGGCATTAGTGGCGTCAGGACACACTTATTAGGTGAATATATGGACGCTGTTTAACCCCATTGTTTGGTTGATATTGTCTGATAGAGATTGTTTGTCCTAACGAAAGGCAGAGAAAAGAAGAAGTGTTTCAGGGCCGGGAGGGAGAGCTTCACGGGGGAGATGGGAGCCCTCCCATCTCCTGTCTCCATATGATCCAGAAGTTCTGGTGATGGCGACGGTGGTGGAGCTGAGCCGAGCGTCACAGGGGCAGGGTCCCCTGGATGCAGAGAGAGTAGAGTAGGGGGAGACAGGGGCCAAGAGGAACCTAGTGAAGATGAGAGTGGCGCCACCGTTCACTGAATGCTTACTGTGGGTCAGGCCCTGTCCCAAATGTTTCACCCACTTACCTTGTTTAATTCTCACCAGTTCTGCAAGGCAGGCACTTCTGTTTCCAGATGGAGAAACTGAGGCTCAGAGAGATCAAGTGATTTGCCCAAGGTCATGCAGCTACTAAATGGCAACAATGGGATTCAAACTGGGGATATCTCTGGCTAAAAAGCACATGCTTGTAATCAACTTACCTCCCCCTGGTGAACAATGCAAAGCTTGCAGGCAGGAAGAGCCTGCAAGGGGATAATTAGCGCGGGACTCCTGCCCTTTGAGGTCACAGGGACCCCTGAGGGCTGGGCACCAAATGACTCAACAGCAGGTGGAGATGAGGGGCGCTGAGCAAGCCCTTGGGGCGGTGCAAAGGGGTTTCTCAGCAGCCCCTTGACTTAGGAAGCGGCTGCTGAAGAGAAGTCCCATGCCGCTTTGCCCCGACCTCTGTCACGCCCTGGTTTTCAAACTGGTGTGTGCAGGAGCACCGGCCACTTACCAAGGGGCGCACTTTTCAGAGTTTAAGGGAATGAAGTTCCAGATGCCTAAGCTTCTGTATAAAATTCTGGAATAAAAATAATCTATTAAATTGCTGGAGGATGCCCTGGTCCTGGTGGCCCTTCCCCCATGTCACGGAAGAGAGGCCCTCCTGTCGCCCATGCTGAATCCCACTGAGCACATCACCCTGGGTGTGTTGAAACCCTCTGAGCACCAAAGGGAAAATGAGAAACAGTTGGTTACAGAACAACAATTCAGTTACTCAGAAAAATTGAAGTAGGGTAAGTTAATGACAGTGATTCTTTTAAGTGTAATTGGAATTTTATCAGACTGTTTTATCATACTGTTTTAATTACTATAGCTTTGTAATATAATCTGCAATCAGTGCATGTGATGCCTGCATGCCCAATTCTTTTTAAAAACCTTATCTTTCTTATAGTACCTTTTCAAACACAGCTAATGGTGACTAAGGCATTCAATTAACATTCTGGCTTCCAGTCTCTTCACTTAAAGCCATAAGCTCATTTAGTTCATCATCTACCTTCCAAGTTAATTCAGGTAGTATTGTAGTATTACCAAAGACTTTATCAGTGCATAATATAGGTCACCTTCTTCTAGCCTTTAGTAAAAGTATCCTTGACACCCACCGGGTGGCCCAAAGACAATGTATTTATGCTACAGTGGTATACCACTTTTGATAGCAATTTCTGTATTAGTCAGGAGGTTATGCCCCAGTCACAAATAGCCCCAACTCGCAGACACTTATAATAAATAACAGTTTTTATTTTCCTCATTCATGCTACATATCTGTCCTAATCAGCCATCTCACTGCTTCACATCATCTCTACTGCAGAACCCAGCGGGGCAGAGTCATCCCCATCTGGGACATTGCTTGTCCTCTGGAAAGGGGCGAAGAGGACCTGGAGATTCATGCACTGGCTCTTAAAGCTTCTCCCCGTGCTTACTTAGTCAGAGCAGGAAAGTGGCTCGTCCTGACCTCAGTGGGGCAGGGAAATATGACCTTCCCCCAGGGAAGGACAGCAAAGGTTATAAACAGGAGTGTCATTTATTACATTATGATTTTTCATTTATATTCTGAGGATTCTCAAAAAGAGAGAAACAGCTGGTTTTATTGTAGTGGTTTTGCCCAGAGCGGCCTATAGCTGGAGAAAGACAGGGTGACCTTTCAAAGACAGGGCAACCTTTAAAATACCTTACAGACCTAGGCCTTTGATCTTTATGACGGTTGGCCCCAGCCCTGTAGCTTTAATGCACAGAATTATCATCTTTGTTTCCTTTTTCTCTACCAGCCCTATGTGAGTTGACATTTGATTGGATGGGCTGTCTTTTCTAGAGTTTGCTACTCAGCACCCAGTGCCCTCTGGGGCATTAGTAAAGCCATTTCTTGACCTCCAGGTTAAATTGGTCCATTTTTGTTTTTTCTTCCCAGCTGTCTTTTGGGGAGACATTGCCCTAGATGAAGAAGACCTGAAGTTATTTCATATCGACAAGACACAAGACTGGATCAAGCAGTCAGTGGCAGAAACGGGGCATCACACAGGCAAGTATGGCATCCCCCCCGCGCCGGCCCCAGATGGAGGGGCCGGGGGCTCCAGCAGGGGTAGACGTGGACCACGAGTCATCGGAGTGTGCCCTGTCAGTCCCGTGCCCGCCTGTCTATGGAAAACCAGAGGCTGTGGAGCTGGAGCCTCCAAGTGCGCTGATCCTTCTAAGAAAATCTTGTTTGCCTGTTTACCTGCGGGTTTAGGTTTGACCTCAGCGGGTTCAGACTTGAGCTTGGCAAGGTTCTCAGTGCTCTGGACTCGGGGTGCAGCACTTCCCACCTGGAGAGGGTTCTGGATGGGATGCATTGAGGGCATGTCTGACAATGATGCTCATCACGATTAGCACTGGCGATGTTTGCTTTTGGGGTGTCCTGCACTTGTCTGGCTAACAGCCCAGGTGAAAGTCCCCTGGGGCCAGGAAACACGGGCGGGCCTTCCCGCTTTGATTACTATTGCCCACTCTCCTTCCTTGCCTCCCGCCCCGGGGTGAAGAGTAATGGGACTGACTCTCTGAGTGCTCCCCACCTCCCTGCCCATGGAGCTCGGACACCCCAGCGCTGGGGAATGGCCTTCTCAGGCGCAGCCTGTGGGGCTGAGTTGTGGGGCTGACAATGGCTGGTTATTTGGTGACTAAAGCTCACGTGCGCCTGATGGTACACTGTCTCTGCTGCCTGAAACCCTCCTTCCACCCTCTTTTCCTTTCTCTCAGGGCTTTTAAAATTTTTTTTGTGGTAAGAATATCATGTGAGATTTACCCTCTTGGCAAATTTTTAAGTGTACGAAAAGTATTAGAAACTGCAGACCCAGCGTGCTACAGCAGACCTCCAGGACTTACTCCTCTCATGTAACTGAAGCTTTATACCCTTTTCTTGAGCACCTACTGTGGGCCAAGTGCAGTGCTGGAGAAAAAGGAGTAAGGTGTGACCTCTGCTTTCAAAGCGACCTTTCACACCAGGCAGGCAGAGTGGAGACCTGGACAAGTTCTCTAACATCTAGAAGGGTCAGTTTACCTGTATCTGTAAAGTGGACAGGAAACTGACACTCACTCCCTAAGGGGTTGGTAGGGTCAACTCCAAGGGTGGTGGTGCCTGGCACATCACACATTCTCGGGCAGTGGCAGACATTGTCGCCGCCGCGCTCCCAGCCTAGTGGAGCGAGGGGAAAATGTAAACACATAAGCTGTGATTCCACCTGGCAAGTGCTGCGATGAACCAAGAGCAGCGGGAAGGCAGGGGAGTGAGTGGAGGAGCCAACCTAGGTGAGCCAAGAAAGGCATCATGGGAATGGGCACTCTTGGATTGCGTCTTGGAGGATAAGTAGGGATTCCTTTGGTGCACAATCAAGAAAAGGCATTTCAGGCAGAGGGGAAGCTACGTGTAAAGTCAGAGTGTGAATGGGCTGTCTTTATTCGGGGAGCGGAGGAGAGGCATGGTCCTGGAGGGTGGCTCTTTGGAGGGAGTTGTGGTAGAGACATGTACCTGGAAAGGCTGGCTGGGGTAGACGGTGAAGGGGCCTGTTGGAGGGGTAGGTGGGAATGTGCCTGTAGTGGGGGTAACTCCCAGGAAGATCGATGCCTATTAAGTTAATGAGCCAGGGCTCTCCCCTGTGGGCTGGAAGGGTCCTGCCTAAGGCCTCTGAACTGGGGTGTGGTGTGACCTGCTCAGCTTTTGCTTGAGGTGACTCTGGTGTAGTCCTCTCTCCCACTGCTCTCCACAGCCGCCTGCTGCCCTGAGAATGCTCCTGGGTCCTGGCTGGCAGTTCGGGCTGTCTCACCACGCTGCTTGCTTGGGACGAGGGTGGGGGAGGGTTGTCGGGTAACCCCTACCCCGCCGCTGATGCACTTGGTGGCATCCAGCATATTCCTCATGCCTTGGGTGCCTTGCAAGGCTCTGAGATTCCACTAAAGCTGATTCACCAATTCTTCATTCCAACATTTCCTGGCACAAAAGGCCCTGAATCTGTTATGCACTTGGGAGGGAAGAGAAGAATATACTGTATTCAGGTTTTTGGGTGTGGTCTTCATTCATTCATTGAAATCTCTACTGAGTACTTGGTGCCAGGTCTTGTGTTAAATCCTGAGAAGGTATAAAATGAGGTCTTTCTTCTCAAGGATTCACCAACTAGGGGAGGAAATAGGTGCAGAAACCAAAAACAGTGCTGAAACCAAAAAGAGGCGGTGCGGGGGAGGGGCCCCACGAAGCGCAGGGGCAGGGGGCGCCCAGGACTGGGGCCGTTACTCAGGCAGCGAGGGCCAGGCAGGCTTCCCAGAGAAGCGGGTGCTGGGGAGGATGAGGGGTTTGCCAGGCTAGGGACTGAGGAGTCAGAGCACAGAGAAGGACATTCCAGACAGAGTGGGGGCTCCTTCGTGGGGCAGGAGGGGGATGCCGGGACATGGGACAGCAGGTCACCATTGAGGAGGTTATGTGGCCTCCTTCTTGTCCAGTGGCTGGTTCCCTCTTTCTTTGGAGGGGGGGTGGTGGGAATGTAGCCAGAGTAGGGGGGCTACTTTCATGGCCCAAGAGGATCGAGAGCAGCTCCAGGGACAAGGCCAAGTCCTGGGCTCCAGCTGGGCTCGCCGCAGGGTGGGCGGGATGGGGAAGAGCACGAGGACAAAGGTTGTCGCGAGGTCAGGGCAACCCCACTAACAGTGGCTGGGAGGAGGGAGGACCAGTTAGGCACTTTGGAGCTTATTTTTGGTGTCTGTTTCTGTGACTATCATTTCTTAGGATTTTGGGCACCTCTTATGTATGGTTTGAAAAGTTTACCCAAATTGTAAGTGGGATTCAAGAAACCAAATTAGTTTTTTACACCAATATACACAACCTTAATTGAACTCTAACAAAGGAAGCATCTTTTCCTAACTCCACTCCGCCAGCGAGTCCCAGACCTACCCAGCTTCTTGCCAGAGGCCGAGAGACATTAATCTGATTGTAATCTTTTGGGTCTTGGTCTTTCTGGCTTGGGGACCCGCTGCACACTCTCTGGACCAGCACAGCAGTCAGTTGACACCCATCCAGCATGACAGAATGCTCAGGGTTGCCCCTGTCCGCGATCCTTGTGCTGCCCTTGGGACCTGCCATGGTACAGCATAGGGGCGCAGGCTTGGCAAACGTGACGTACCCCAGAGAGGGGCCAGGGGTGGTACCAGCTATATTCCCAGCTGCTGGGGAGCTCCCTGTGCGGAAGACTGCCCGAGGACGCCGCAGTGAAGGGAGGCCTCGCAACCCTGCCTTCATCTCCTTCGTAGCACTACCCCAGCGCCCAGGTGGCCAGCTTTCTGTCTAAGGACTTGAGAACCTGTCTTCCCTTTTCTTCTCCCCTGTGAGCTGAAAGAGAGCAGAGTCTGTAAGCTCTGGACCCCCCAGAGGTGGCCCAGTTCCTTGTACTTGAAAGCCCTGGCCAATGTTGGTGGAGAAGGGAGAAGGAGCAGGTAGACGGAGACTTGGCAGACCCTGGAGCCCTCTCCCTGTGAAGATGCTCCAACAGGGCTTTACTTCCAGAAGGAACACTGGTCACAGTCACAGGCTTTTGGGTCAGACCAGCTGGGCTTGAATCCTTGAGCTGGGCTGCAGTTTCTTCATCTGTCAAATGGGAATAGTAATGTTCTGAGGACAAAAAGAATATGTGTGAAAGGCTTAGTAGAGTGGCACATAATAAATGCTCAATAATATCAACTCTGCCCTTATTAAATATCCTCCTCCTCATTATTATTAGTAGTAGTAATAGTAGTAGTAGTAGTATTTGCAGGAAGACCCCTGACCTGGGAGGGTTTAAGGTTAAGTGGAGAATGGGAACATTGGTGGCTTGGGCCTGAGGCCTTTGAGACATGTACCTACCTGGTGTTCCTTCCTTCCCAAGTTTGATATTATTTATTTTCCCAGTGTGTCTTTCTGGCAAGGCAGTTTTCGTCCTGATTACTTTTCTCTGAGGGCCATGAGTACTTCGCATCTATCTAGAATAGTTATTTTATCTTCAGAGTGGGAGTATTTTTATTGTTTTTGCTGATTGAACTAATACTGCCAGTTGTTATAAAAAAAAAAATCCAGCAGTTTAAAATTGTAGAAAGTAAAAAGCCCCTATTTTCCTAGCCCCAGGGATCCCCGTTATTATGTGTTTGCTGTATTCCTTCCAGCCTTATTGCCTTTGGGCAATGTGCATACAGATATTTTTAAAATATAAAAGGGATTTTTTTATTGTGTAACCTGCATCTTTCACCTAACACACCTGATGGACATCTTGTGCAGTATATTGGGGTGTATTGCATCTAATGTACAACTCAAACTAATCCCTTACAGATGGGCATGAAGGTTGCTTCCCTTTTTTTCCGCAATGTTTTTTTTCTATTAGAAACATTACTACTGTGAACAATGCTGTGCATAAAATCTTTAAACATTTGCTTTGATTTAAAATAAAGTAAAAAGGAAACACAAGTTTATCCCCACTTTCTAATTCCAAATGTTTGAAAGGCTGTGCTGTGGGTACAGGTTATCTCATTTCCAAGCCTGAGTAGGCCCCGCTATTGGCGGGGGTGGGGAGGCAGCTCAAAGGTGAATCCTTGGAGGGGGATGGGCTCTGTGCAGCGCCAGAGAACTCCTTCCCCTGGTTCCTCCTGTGAACTTGGAGCTGCTTTCCTGGCTGCAGAGTGAAATGATGTCATTGGCTTCATTTCCTAGAAGTGCCCAACATCCCAAACTCAGTGGCAGAACCCAGGCTTCCCATCTCCCAGCCCGTGTGCCCTCCCCTGCACCAGTCTGGCTGCCATGCTGCCAGTTAGGAAGGATGGAGAAAAACAGAGGAGCGTGTACGCATTCCTTTGCCATCATGGAGAGTAGGCTGGGCTCTTTCTGGGCCAAGGGGTGAGCAAAGACCTTGTACCTGGGTTGGTTTAAGAGCCTACCCAGGGTGCTCACTGGGCACAAAAAAGGCACTGAGGGCGCTGGGACCCCCAGGAGGGAGCACTCTCATGGTTCGCTTTGGGCCCCGGGCTCCTGGATTA